ATGCTGGGAGCCTGTATAGCCTAGACCTGTATAATAAAGACCGATAGTCTCCTCCCAGCAGTCAAGAAGTAATGATTGAACTCATGGCCTACTTGTAATATTCCAGACCAGAAATGCATAATAATTTTACATGGCAAACTAGTTATAAGTCATTCGTGTCTGTGAAGTAAGCTCCCAAAAGTTGACAAGTTAAATGTGCAAAATGAGAAGTCAGTGTTCCAGGCTTGAGTCAGTCAACACGGACCAATGGATGGAGGGGCTTTTCCTCCCATTCTGTAACCTTGAACTCCCTTGTCCCTCAACCAAAGGTCTCCCTAACTTGTTAACTTGCTCTCATCTTGAGTTCAGCAAGTCAAGCCAAGGTCCCAGCCCTAATCCCTTTTTCCTCAGATACAGCCTACAACTACCTCTGTGAAACCAAGTCCGAGTGTTCCAGCAACCACATCCGAAGATGCAGGAACGTTTCAAAACTGTGTATCGGTTCACAAAGTGCTTACCGCACAAGCTTGGGGACCCAAGTTTAATTCCTCAGAACCCAGTGGAAAATGGCCCTTGGGCACAGGTCTCGTGGCCTGATTAGATCTGATCCCCAGATCAGATCACAGAAGGTGGTAAGAGAGAATGGACGCCTAAGGTTGTCCTCCAACCTCTACACAAATGCTGTAACATATGTGGCCACACGCAAATTATATATTTTATATGTGTGTATCTATATATTAATTTAAAAGCTATGTATAACACATGTTATCCCAGCCCTAGGGAAGTGGGGATGGGATCCTTGGGGCTTGCTGTCAATCATACTTCCTTACTTGAATTACAGACCAATGAGACACTGTGTCTCAGAAATCACAAGGTGGATGACTCCTGAGGAATGACACCCAACTCTGATCTCTGGGTTCCACACACGCACGCATGCACACACAAAACTATCCGTAATCTTTGTGCTCTGGATAGTGTGTTCTTTTAGCAGTTTGTGAGAAAAAAAAAAAAAAGCTGGGTGAGTTTAAAAAAAAAAAAAAAGCATGACACACACCTTTAATCCCAGCACTTGGGAGACAGAGGCAGGGAGATCTCTGTGAGTTCAAGGCCAGCCTGGTCTACAAGAGCTATTTCCAGGACAGGCTCCAAAGCTAAAGAGAAACCCTGTCTCAAAAAAAAAATATGAAAGAAAAGAAAGGAAAGGAAAGGAAAGGAAAGGAAAGGAAAGGAAAGGAAAGGAAAGGAAAGGAAAGGAAAGAAAAGAGAAAAGAAAAGGCTGTATTTGATACAGAAACAGAGTCAGGGGACAGTAAATGAAGATGAAAGCAGATGAATTGATTCAACGCTGGCATTTTCCACACCTCCTAGCTCACTTCAGACTCCTCACTCAGTCTTTATTTGCACCTCTGGAGGGAATGATTTCCATGGAAGTCAATGGGAGAAACGTGTGTCTGGACAGCAGGACTGGCCCCACGCGGAGACTTGAGGAATATGGACATAAATGAGCCTGTGCCGAGGTCCTGTCTGCTCAGTACAGCAGAGGGCCAAGGTGAGCTTTTCCGCGCCAGCGATGCTACCAACCTTGGAGAACTAAGGTGGAACCCTCGGCGGTGGGATGGATGTTTGTACACTGTGCGGAGATGTGGTGCTGCGGTTGGTATAACGAAAAGCTGACCGGCCAATAGCTAGGCAGGAGGTGGAGGCGGGATTTCTGGGGAGAGAAAGGCCAGAGGAGATAACCGAGGTGCAGAGGAGGCACCACGGAGCCGAGCCATTACGGGAGTCAGACATACAGAATGAAAGGTAAGAAGCCACGTGGTAAAATGTAGATTGACAAAAGCAGGTTAATTTAAGTGAGAAGAGCTAGTGGGACAAGCCTAAACTAAGACTGAGCTTTCATAATTAACACTAAGTCTCCGTGTCGGTATTTGTGAGCTGGTGGCCCACATGAAAGTCCGACTACGCTTCGACGCTGTATACCACTCCCCTGTGGATTTGGCCTGGTCTGAAGATGGCTGTAAAGAACAGTAAGGAGCAGGTGGGGTGGGAGGTCCCGTGACACCCAAACCTACTGTTGTTAGGTACCATGCAAATGATGGGTGGTGGGTGTCTGTAAGCACGTCTACTTTGTTTGTTTGTTTTTAGCTTGAAGGCCAAATTTGAAATGATCCTCTCAAGAAAATTAGGGCAAGGAAGGGAAGTGGTTACGCATTTTAATTCACTGGGTTAGTCGAAACTTTTTTCCTTTTGATTTTTAACCACATACTTCCCTTGTCCTTGAGTTGCTAAGGTGTCTAACTCAGCAAACATTCAAAATCACGCGTAAGCCAGGCCCGCTGGCTCAGGTCTGCTTTCCCGCTACTCTGAGAGGATCACAAGTACAAGGACACCTGGGAAACTAGCAAGACCTGTCTTGAAATAAAAGGTGAAAGAAGGGGGCGGGGCTTGGTCTGTAGCTCAGGGAGAACTGTGGCTTCTTTTTTTTTAAATATTTATTTATTTATTATGTATACAATATTCTTTCTACATGTATGCCTGCAGGCCAGAAGAGGGCACCAGACCTCATTACAAATGGTTGTGAGCCACCATGTGGTTGCCGGGAATTGAACTCAGGACCTTTGGAAGAGCAAGCAATGCTCTTAACCGCGGAGCCATCTCGCCAGCCCTACTGTGGCTTCTTTGAGGTCCTGGATTTGATACCCAGTACCATACAGAAAGCATGTAATGGTCAAGAGAGCATACAGAACAGGGGCAACAGTGATGTAGTATGCCTGCCATCTTACTAGTATTGGAATTGGAAGTCAGAGTCGTGCAATCTTTTTCTGGGAGTAATCATGTCTTAATCCTGTAAACTTAGTAAAGAGCTAACTTCTCTAGGTCCCCAAAGCCTTCTCTGGCGTTCATATCCTTTTTTTCCAGGTGTGTGTGAGAATTAAATCTAAAGAGTGATTTAAAGATCGTATCCATCAGTATTCTCCAAAAGGTGGCATAAGGCATTAACGAAACTATATAATGACACTTGGTAATCATTAGCAAATGTGAGAAATTATATTGACAAAATATAAAACATCACCATATTCCTGTGCATATACAAACAGCAAGGGTGAGGCCGGAAAGATGGTCCAGAGGTTAAGAGTGTTTGCCGCCCTGTAGAGGACCTGGATCATATTCTAGCACCAACACGGCAGCTCCCAACCACCTGTAACTGAATACCCTCTTCTGGCCTCTGTAGGCATCAGTCATGCACATAATACATGCACAAACATGCAGGTGTTGAAATAGGAGCAGAGGGGCTGCGTCCCCAGCACCCCAGCCACCTGCTAGCTTATGCCCGAAATAACAACACACAAACTGTATTCATTTAAAGACTGCTTGGCCCATTTCTATCTAGCCTCTTCTAGGCTAATTCTCGCAGATGGATTAGCCCATTTCTAATAATGCGTGTAAGCACCCCAAGGTGCACTTCCGGGAAGATTCTAGCCTACGTCCATCCTGGGTCTGAGCTTCATACGTCTGCCTCAGAGCACAGAGCTATCGCGCGTCTACCCGGGAGAGCTGAGCATGGCGTCTCTGCTCCAGAGAGCAGAGCTGTCGGGTCTATCTGAGGAGTCTTACCTCACTTCCTCTTCCTCCTGTTTACTCCTCCCACCTATGTTTTAACCTATCAGGGCAAGCAGTTTCTTTATTTAATTAACCAATGAAATCAACAGACTGATATATGACACTCCCACATCATGCAGGCAAACACCTATACACATAAAATGAAATGCAAATAAATCTATATTTAAAATATAGTGTTGTCAAGCAAGGGATCAATAGCTAGTATGCTGATTTTAGTGAGTTTTCATATTCTAATTTAGTAAAAGAATTTTGAACAAATAAGAGAGACCACCTATGCCTATTCTTCATGCATACCTGGCAAGTGTCTAGTACTTAACAACTGCTTGGCATATTTGTTCAAGGAATTGTGTATAATTCTCAGGAAGATCTCTTCTTCTCTCTTTTCCCATGAAAAGAGGAGGAAAGAAAGAGAGAAAGGGAGGAGATAGAAGGAGAGGGGAGGGGAAGAGCCAGACTGATAGACAGAGACACAGAGAGGGACAGAGACAGAAAAATGGGAATAGAAATGGACCCTGGGACATAATGGTCTAGACGGGTCCAACTTTGCCATGGAAGAACGCACAGTGTCCTAACTTCAAATGGCGTGCCCCAAGTGAAATGTTCCCTTCTTCCACTCCTTCACTATGGCAGGCATTGCTACTGGAGCACAGCAGCTTCCCTGCTAATCCTACACAAAGCTCCTCCAGAGTCCTGGAGTAACTTCTACCAAGCAACTCCCATTAACCTATCAGAATCGATACACTTGGAAATGAGATCTCTAAAGCTCTTCTCTGGGACTGACCACTCTGATGGAACCCTTACCTGTGGGACCTGAATGGGTTACTCAAGAATAAAATAACAAGAGCTCTGAAACAAACGTCTGGGTGTCCAGAGGCTTAAAGAAACCCTGACTTCAAACCAGTCATTAAAGAAATTGGGAAACCTTTCGCTTACAACCAAAGCAGGCCACGTGAGCATATTTAAGCATTTTCTAAAATGGACATTTATAGTTTTTTAAAGTTTACTGAAAACTTTTATTGTAATCAAAAAGTGACAACACAGGGCTATAATGAGTTCAGCAAATCATTCTGCTGATATTTCTGATACCAGCCTTTGCCAGGCAGTTAAAAAAAATCAAATGTGGAAATTTCACAGTACAGTAAACTCCACCCCAACTAATTAATGGTGGTTAAAAATAATAGGCCCTAGCAAAACCTCTCATGTTCCATAGTCACAACTGAAAATTCTGTACAAAAGTTCTCTATAAAGCTCTGACGTAAAAACGAAATAATCAAGAAGCAAATAGTTTAAGTGTAACACGGGGTATTCAATTTATTATTTACAAGGCTGGGATTTCTTAACACTATAACAGAGTTTAATACAGATGACTTAGTAATTAAGTCAATTAAAACATTCGTCCTTCACAGAGAAGGAGAGTCCTTCCTTCTTGCTAGCTCACATCTCTCATCTCTTCTCTGGAGCCGGAATATTCTCCGCTGTCATAGTCTGTTTTCTTGTCTCTACCAGGAGTAAAGTCTTTATTTGAGAAACCACGAATGGATTCACGCTTATCTGAAGTCCTGGTCTCTTTGAAAGACTGAGACAGGTTCTTACAATTTCCTCGTTCATTCAGACGGTCCATGGTGCTCTCCTTCTCTGGATGGGCACTGTCGGGGATTTCCTTGTCTAACACTGAGTGGTCCCTGTCTTTGGTTTTCCCCTTCTCACTGGACGCAGAGCCTTTTGAGCTTTTGGCCGTGTGCTGTGTCATTTCATGGCTCACCTCCTTGGTGAGCTTCTGAATTTTCTGACTGCAATTCTTCCTCAGTTTCCTTGAGTATAACTGAGGCCCTTACAGTAACATTTTTCATAGTAACTGGATGGTTTCCCTACACTCTGTATCGGTTGTGTGGATTTAACGCCTTTTTCAGGTGCAAAGTCATCTCTATCCCATTCGGACTGAGGAAACTGGATCCTAATTATAACTTCTCCAGCAGGAGCTGTATTATCAATATCATATTCCTCCATGGTCCTAATGACTTTTCCGTTTGGTTTTGTCACTTTTAATTTCTGTCTTATCTTTTTCTCCCTTGTCTGTTTCAGACACTGATTTGGAACTGGTAGATTCTGCCTCCATCGGTTCATCCCTAACCCGTGTGGCATCATCTCTACATGGGAGAACAAACAGTGTATCTGTCTTCGTGTCGTCGACGCCTGACGACTCCCTGGATTTCCTGGGCATGTCTAACAGTTTGGGGTTCGGTAAGCTCTCCCTCTCCTCCCCCTTTCTTTGTTTTCTGTGTTCCTTATGCTTGTTTTCTTTACCGTCTCCTGGAAGGGAATCACTCTCCTTCTCTTTTGATTTGACATTATCTTTCTGATTGCGACTATCTCTTGTTGAAAGCTTTTCTGGATAGCCGCCACCTCCATTTCTATTTCTATGACTTTGTCCAGCAGCATAGTCTTCTCTGCGCCCTCTTGTGAAGGGTGAATTTCTGATATTAAGAGGTGTCTCTGGAGGGAGGTGCTCTCTGTTAGCTCCCACAGCATACCCTTTGTAGTACTGTTCGTACCGCTCTGGGTATTTCCTCTCCCATTCCTGGTAGCGTTCTCTCTCGAATGAGTCTCTAAAGTCAACACTCTGTCTGTAATAGTCTTTGGTGTCATAAGGGTATCTATTAAAATACCCATGCTCTCTTTCTCCTCGAGGTACATTACGTTTAGTGGGAGACTGTCCCCTAAATTCTTGAGGAGATCTTGGCCGTGAATGGTAACGTCTATATTGAGGTGACCTTGACCTAGATCGGTGACAGCCACGAGATCTGGACCGTGAGCGGTCATTACGGCTCTTGTCTCTGCCTCTCCTGGGGTACGCAGGTGATCGTGAATAGGAGCCAGAATGCACGCGGCTGAAGGATCGAGAGTCAGAGCAGGACTGTGTGGAGCCAGATCTTGACTTGGAGTCACTATGTGAGTTTCTGGAAGATGAGCGCCTATGCGCCTTTTGAATCTTTTTGTATCCCATCAATTCCTTAGCAAAATTATTTGCCAACTCTAGCTTGGACTTTTCCTTTTCCTCTTCCCTTAGTTGTCGTTGCACTCTATAGAATTCTTCCCTGGACAAGGGTAGTGCTTGCGTTGTAGGGATGGTATTTGAATGAGCAGTCTGAAATCCTGGTGACACCCCATGTATATTGGCAGGAGCTGGTGAAAACCCTGGAGGAGGGACACTGTATCCTGCAGGAGGGGGCAGGCCAGGAGGAAATTGAGGAAAGCACTGTGGGGGAGGTACCCATGAAGGAAGAGGCCACCTATAGGGAGGCGGTGGATCCAAAGGAGGTGGTGGACCAGGCACAGCGACTGGTGTTGCTGGCAGTGATGGGCCTTGAGTCTTCTGTGAGCTTTCGCTGAGCTGTCCTGGTGATGCTATTGGGGGAGGCGGTGGAGGTAACTGTGTCTGTAGACGTTTCGTATAGCCGGTTTTATTTTTGAAGTTATTAACGGCCTGCCGTAAAGACTTGTTGGCAACTAAAGCATCAGGAGAAACATCGTCCTGATGGCATGCTGGACATGTATGTTCATCTGATTCCAGGAGTGCTGTCCTAATACATTCGTCACAGTAGCTGTTTCCACAACAAGGGATGATAGCAGCATCAGTTATAATGTCCTTACAGATGAGGCACATGAGCTCCTCTGGGATAGCATCGTCTTCTTCTGAAGGTGATGACGGTTCCTCTGGTAAGAAGGGTGGTTTCTCCTTCTTCCCGATCGCATAGGCCTCTGCATCTATCATTGGGATTACGTATTTGCCAGTACTCGTAAGCATCACCCCTTTCATGTTAGGGTCTTTCACTTCCATCATGAAGCTTCGAGGGATTCCAGAGCTCTTTCTGAGTCTACGGCCAGAGTTCTCATCCCTGTTTGTTGCCCAATTCTTATTGTAATGACCGGATTTATTATAATGAAAACGGTTGTAAGACGAAAGGCGCGGATCTAGAGGTTTCTTCACGTAGTTGATTGGGCTGTACATCTGGCTAGACTGCAACATCATTTCCTTAATTTTATCTTCCTCAGTAGCATTGGTTTCAGCCAGATTGGCAACTTGACTTATCACAGATGTCTTCCTTGTGGAACGAACACCCACAATAGGAATTCTTCTCACAATTACAGAAGAGTTCTTAGGAATTAGCGCATTATCGGTATATTCTTCTTTCGTCTGCTCGCTGGTGATCTGAAGATCATTATGGGTAGCTTTCAGCTTTTCTTTCCCCATAATCCGCTTCTTTAAGTCACAGAGGGAGATATGGGGCCCATCAAAGATGATGATGTCGTAGTTGAGTTTAGAGGCAAATTTATAGCGCACGCCGGGCATTGTGGCAGAGGATTCCGCGTGCTAGGCACCTCGGTAACCGCTGACGTTTGCAGCTCAGGGACCGAGTTGACAGGGTCTGAAGTTAGCCCCCGGGGCTCTGATGTAATTCGTCTCTTCAAAGACGCTCTACCTCGCTCAGACCGAAATGGGGCAAGATCCTGTCTTCAAGAATCCCCAAACTCCACTCTACCTGATAGAAATATGTTTAAGTCATAACTGCTAAACAATCCAAGAGCGCAACACTAATAAAACACATGAATTCTAATAGTCTTAATAAATGAAACCCGGAGTCAGACATTAGAGGGTAAAAGCTGAAGGATCAGAGAAGCAGTGTGGACAGCCAGAGAGAGAACGTTTGCCTCTACCTATGCTCAGACCCAAGGAGCAATTCTGCCCTCAGATCGTCTCCTCGGACTTCTCCTCGGACTGGAGCACTTCTCCTCGGACTTCTCCTCGGACTGGAGCACTTCTCCTCGGACTTCTCCTCGGACTGGAGAGCAATCCTCAGACAGCAACTGTCTCCAGCAAATTTCTGAATGCAATGAACCCCTGTCTCCTCCGGCCTTATATACACTCTGTCCAGCCACTCCCTAGGGTGGGGATTGAAGGTGTGAAATCCCCAGGGTGGGATTTAAGGCGTGAAATCCCTAGGGTGGCCTTAAACTAACAGAGATCCCTCTGCCTCTGATGGAATTAAAGGAGTGAGCCACTCCTTGGCCTCTAGTGGCTTAACTCTGCACTGTGATTTTCAGGCAGGTTTTATTTGTTAAAACATAAACAAAATACCACCACACACTACTGACCACCATTTTTTGCCTAATTATCTTGAGGCTTATTTGTACATCCTATTACTGAAAAGACATGAAACACAAATGATGCTAAGGATACAGAAGATCTAGCACTGAGATCAGACAGCCATCCTTGTTTTATTCTTTGGGGTTTCTGATGTTTGCTTTCCCCATGTCTCTTTATGCGGCACAACCCCTGGCATAAGCCACACTACTGTCAGGCTAAAAGCCTTTCTCTCATCAGATACCAACACATTGACTACAGCACTGGGGGAACGTCCCTAAGCAAAGTTCATGCACATGTAGGCATCTACACATGGCCACACCAGATGGGACTAGACTGCCACCATCAAAGTGCCTGTGTGGTTGGTTTATATATTACTCAGCCACCCATCTGATCTCCAACGACAGCCTCGCTGACACGGTCTGACCTAGGTTGACAATCTGGATAGAAATTGTAGGGCTGGCTGTTCACTGGCTGTGACTTTTACCAGCACTGCTTTTGGGCCTCAAATCAATTCTCTCTGTTTACAGACCATTTCACAGCCCTTTACCTGCGACATCACCGGTGTCAGCCTCATAAATACTTAGGTGTATATAATGCTTGAATTAGCATAATAGTCTAGGCTCGAAGCTCTTAGCCCAAAGAAGGACACGTCAACACGCTCTCCTCACTTAAGCAATTAAGAGCCATTACGCTGCTTCAGTGGAAATATCATCAAGGTTAAAGGCAACCCCAAACAGCCCTCTCACCTTTTTATTCTAAGTCTAACAAATGAGCCATAGAAATTGAAATGTTAGTAAACAGTCCTACTTGCAAGCTCTTTCTGGGCCGTGCTTAATCAGATCCTCAGCCAGTAGGCATTGGCAATGGACTTAGAAACGCGCATATTTAAATTGGTCATTCAGTGCAAGAAAATCGAGTTTACTGGTTCGATTTCAAAGTCACAGTGGCCACTAATGTATCTTTGGCCAGATTTAAAATTTTCTCAGTGCATAAGTTGCCTAAAAATATCCCTGCACTATATCCCTGGAAACAATAGCTATATTTCTGAACATGATAATGGTGTTGTAACTATGAAAGGATTGGTGTGTGGGTGTGCGCGCCCACAAAGCAGTCAAAAGACAACCCTTAGGAGGTAGTTCTCACCTTTCCCATGACTTCGGGTGATCAGGCTGTCAGGCTTGCTCAGCAAGCACCCTTGCCCACTGAGCCACCTCACTACTCCTGTTTGGAGTTTTGAACAAAGGGATGTAGGCCAAGTCTTTCGGCATTGTGTTCCTCTAATACTCTCTTTTAAAAATGGCATTACTGAAATATAGTTCATATCTAATGTTTCTGGTTTTTTTTTTTTTTGGATTTTTCGAGACAGGGTTTCTCCGCAGCTTTTGGTTCCTGTCCTGGAACTAGCTCTTGTAGACCAGGCTGGCCTCGAACTCACAGAGATCCACCTGCCTCTGNAGCTTTTGGTTCCTGTCCTGGAACTAGCTCTTGTAGACCAGGCTGGCCTCGAACTCACAGAGATCCACCTGCCTCTGCCTCCCAAGTGCTGGGATTAAAGGCGTGTGCCACCACCGCCCGGCTCTAAAAGATTTTTTGAAACACAAGAAATGTATGTGGAATGGCCCGGGAGACTGGCTTTAATGATTCAATCGTTAGATTAGGGAAGTTGCCACATCTACCACAGAAAATTGTCTAAAGTGTCCTACAAAATACACTTAATAGGGGCCAAAGAGATGACTCTGTATAAATATGGCTGTTGCCAAGCCTGGTGACTTGGGTTTTATCCTTAGAGCTCACACGATAGGCAACAATGTGCCATAGCTTTTGCACTCACACACACACACACACACACACATGTGCACACACAAACAAATATCAAGCACTTTAAAACATAATAGTAGAGAGAGGTAAATATAAGCTTTATTTCTTTTGAAATTCAAAAAGCTGAACCTTCCATTATTCAAAGCTACAAAAGAAATATCTGATTTTTTATGCTTTTCAGGTTATGGTACAAAAAAAAAAAAACGAGAGTAGTAGGTCTAGCCAACGTGAAATATATATCTATTCGATGATCCATCGCGTTCCCTCCTGCAGCTGTATAACAAGGCTCATAAAAGGAGCCGGTGGCAGAAGAAAGGTCTTCCTCGCTATGACAAGTGTTCCGGCAGAAGACTGTCATCAAAGCATCTCGGCTATCCTAGTAGTGAAGTCAAAGCCTACAACAAGAGCAGGAGCCTATGAGCAGCCAGCTTCTAATTTTATTCCGCCCGCTCGGACTACGCTAAGAGGAGAAAAATGACAAATAGCCGCCGAGATTTTCTTGACACTGTGCTTAACTGAAATTTCAAAATAAATCAGCCGGGCTCATTTTTTAAAGACTTACAACTAAATTATCATTGGGGTCGTTTTGTTTGGTTCCTGACTGGGTTTCCGAGGGACCAGTGGTGAGATGCGCCGAGATCTGAAAATGGGTCACAGTGCGCAAACATTGCAGTTTGGTTTGATTTAGTCTAACTCCTGTGTAATAACTTTCTTTGAAGTGTGGGTTGAGGAGCAGGTTAGGAGCCCGAGGCCACAAGCTCATCTTGTGCTTGTTACAACTCGGATGCCCTGCAGTCCCTGTACTATATATCAGAGGCTTGGCACTGGAGTCCCTGGGCTCATCAAGTGTGGAGCCCTCATTCCCTGCACAGCAGAGCTGTTGAGACACAAACAACAACATGGCTGTGTTTGCTTGGGAAATCCTGCTCTTATAGGAAACAGGTGGGGCCTGGAGGAGCCTGTGAGCCAAAGGAAGCCGTGGAAAAGTGGTTAAAAATAATAATCCACCTCGTAGACAGGCCGGTGGTTTCTCCGACCTTGAGAAAGGCAGGACCTGTTTCCTGAGCGCGACCAGGCCACTCTCGTTCCCAAGCCCCGGAGCGGTGGCTTCCAGGTAGCTCCTCTGACATCCTCAAGTGAAGATTCAGAGGAAGCTGGTGCCCTGATCCTCTCTGGTCTCAAATTTTCATTGGCAAAATGGAGGATTCTGCCAAGCCATCTCTCAGGCCTCAACCTTACTATCAAATTAGAACCTTCTGACCCCGTGACGACCTTGACCCCACCTCTGAATCAATGAGTACAAGCTCTGCAGTGAAAACTCTGTGTGAAAAGGCAATAGTCCGAAGAGAAGTCATTGAGGCGGGATATTTTTAGGGAAAAGACTCCTGGCCAAGGGAAGGGAGAAGGGTTGTTCTCCAACTCCTAACTCCATGAAAGGCTAAAACGAAGGCAGAGACAGAAGTCATCTTAAGTCGTAAAAGGCTGCTAGCTGAAGTCAGGGATACCATTAGCGGGCAAGACTCTGGGCATTGAGTACTGACTGTGTCTGCCTCCCAGCAGGGCTCTGACTTATATTTCACATTGTCTTTTGGCCAGGGCTTGAAAAGTTGTAAAATCAACAGGGCCTATCACATGACTATATTTTTATATATACACACACATACACACACGCATGCATGCACACACACACATGCACACACACTTCATTTGGTGGCATATGATAAGAGAACTGCATTTTGGGGGATGGAGGCTTCCTCATCTAAATACAGCATCAGCTGGTAAAAGGGAAATCATATGCTCAGTGTAAAATGGTATCATTAACAACGTGAGAATGAAGTAGCAAACCTAAAATATATCTAAGTCAGCCACAACAGTCATGGCAGAGGCTGAAGGGCGAGAGACCATGCCAGAAGCTGGAGCAGAGCACATGATTAAAGCACTTGAACTACCCTCATGCTGTGGGACAATGGTCTTGTATGGTTTTAATAAAACATTGATTGGCCAGTAGCTATGCAGAAAGTAGAGGCAAGGCAACCATAACAGAAGAATTCTGGGAATAAGAAAGTGTCAGTCTGCAGTCGTTATCCAGAGACAGAGGAAGCAAGATGAGAATGCCTCGCTGATAAAAGGTATCAAGCCACGTGGCTACCACAGACAAAAATTATAGGTCAATGTACGTTATAAGAGTTAAAAAGAAACCTGAACTAATAGGCCAACCAGTTTATAATTAATGTAGAACTTTATGTGTTTCTTGGGGACTGTGGGATTGGGCGGGACAGAAACCTCAATCAACAAATGTCACCTACGTGGACAACTAAATCCACTTAAAACCTGGGAGAGTTTGGGAAAGAATTCTAGACACAAAAACAACAGAATTAAACATGGCT